TTGGTCATCAATGAGTAACCATTGCATCTATTTATCTAGATGGAGGAGCCATCCTTTGGTACTAATGGTACTGCAAATCAAACAAACAGGTGACTTGGAGTGGTTTCATAGAAGCTTTGTGCATTAGATTTGGTTCAACAACTTATGAAGACTATGATGAAGCCCTCTCTAGGCTCAAACAAACTAGATTGGTACACAAGCACTAAATTGAATTTGAATGTTTAGCCACTAGGGTGCATGGCTGACCTGAATGAGCCTTAATTGGGTGTTTTATAGGCGGCCTCCATGATGACATTCGAATTGAATTGAAAGACCTTCAGCCAGCAACTATCTTGGCTATTTAATATATATATATATATTAAACACCCCCAACTTGAGATGGGTATATATATATATATATATATATATATATATATATTAAACACCCCCAACTTGAGATGGGTCCAATTTGGCCCAATAGCACTGCCCCACCTAGCATTCCTTTCAAGAGATTAACTTGGGGCAAAATGCAGGCCCGAAGGGAAAAAGGGACTGAGTTATAATTGTGATGGCAAGTTCAGCACGAGGCATAAGTGCAAAGCCCAAAAGGTGTTTCTTCTATAAATCGATGTGCCAGATGAGGATGAATCTTAGGTGACTCTAGAAGAAGGGGCCCACCAAAAGGAGCCCAGGAATCAGGCTCCTATGAGATTTCTCTATAGGCCTTAACCAGTTTCACTTCATCACCCAAGACAATGAGAGTGCACATGCTTGCCTGCCAGCTAGGATTGATTGTGCAACCCACTTCACCCTTCAAAGTACACGTGGCCAATGGTAACTGGCACAGTTGTGAGGGTATTTGCAAGGGACTGGACCTAAAGATACAGAACTAACTCTTTACTGTGGATCTCCATCCTCTGAAATTTAGTGGGGCAGACATAGTTTTGGATGTGCAGTGGCTTCAACAATTGGGCCTCATGGGCCGATTTACTATGGATTTCAATATGGAGGGGGATTGGTGCATTTGTATGGGCTAAGGCTTGACCCCATCAAGGCCATAGATCTCAAGCCTCTCTTGAAAGTGTAGACAATTTGAAGGGGTACAGTATACATGCAAATGGACTTGACTCACACCCCGAACACCCCAACAAAATGGTGTTGCTGAAAGAAAGAATCGCCATCTTTTTTTATTAACAGAAGTAGAATTTTATTAATGAAAGATTAGGAATTACAAGATCTAAGTTCCACTCCAAATCAACAATGATTACAGATTTTCCCAAAACATTTGCCCTCTCACAGCCCCTTGTTTGGCCAGAGAATCTGCCATCCATACCCACTTAAAGGAAACATTTAGTTCCCTTGTTAGGCTTACAATCTCCCTGAATACCCAAGGAATCTAGGAACTATTTCTGGTCCATGATATGACTACTTGGGAATCCCCTTCCACCTCTAGATTGCAGAAACCCAGTTGTTTTGCAAGCCTTAACCCCTGCAGTAGACTAACCAGTTCAGCTGTCAATGCATCACTATGCTCGAAGGGTCCTGAATATAGAGCCACCACTCTACCTTCTTTATCTCTGAATATGCCCCTACCCTTGCCAATCCCCTATTACCAAGGAAGCTTCAATCAAAGTTGAGTTTTATAAAATTGGGGGTCAAGGGCTTCCATTCCATCAATGTCCTTGCCTTGCCTATAGCCGATAGTGCCACCTCTTTCCAGGTTTTCAAGATATCAATTCAATGAAAAGACTTTGAAATCATCCAAAGTTTTCACCCAATGTACAGCTTTCAGCTTAACTCAAGGATTTCTGCATGGGTCCTACTCTTATAATTGAAAATTCTCCCATTTCTTTCTTCCCAAATGGTCCAAATCATCACTGCCCTCGTTGCTTTCCAAAGTAATTTTCCTCTTTTTGTTGGTTGTCTCAAGAATTGAGGATCAAAAAGGCCCGCCACATCCTAAGGAGGAATCCATCTGCACCCAAATAGAAAACATAGCTGCTCCCAAACATAATGCACAAAGGAATAGGAAGTAAAGATATGGGAAATAGTTTCGCCACTATTCAAGCAGAGAGAACACATGTGAGGGGATAGGCATCTATTTGGCCTTTTCTACAGCACTTCACAGGTGTTGACCTTTCCAAGAAAGATCTCCCAACAAAGGGCCTGAATTTTAGGAGGGATAGGCTTGTTCCAAATTTCTTTCACCAGGAAGTTCACCCTCAAACCATTCGTTTGTGTTAAGAAATTGAAAAAGAGGCACAAGTGAAAAATCCATCCGACGAAACTGACTACACCGGTACACCGTATTGTCCTCCCAGAGTTTGATCCAAATAAACTGACTCAAGTTTAACTAATAAAAGCATAAGAGAGTCACATTCTGAATCCCTAAGCCCTCTTCTAAAGCCAGAATCCCAACTTAAACCTGAATTAGAGAAAAAACACAAATTTTGATATAGGTTCAAGTTTCTAAGTGGAGAGTGCATAGAGCAAAGGGAATTGGATTCTCAGAGGATTGTCCCCCATCCAAATATTCTCCCAAAACAAGACTTTTAGCCCATTACTTGCATCATACCGAATGAGGTTGAGAAAGATGGGATATACCTCATAGATTGCTTTCCAAGGAGAGGTTGAAGTTGCATTAGAGGCTACCTTTGCATCTCAGCCACTGTCCAATTGCCCATGTATGCTCTTAATAACCCCATGCTTCGAGTGGGAATCTCCACAACCATTTCTCTAAAAGAGCTAGATTCTTCTGAACCAAATTACCTATCCCAAGGCTCCCCTTCTCCTTCGGCCTACTAACCTGTTCCCAATTAACCAAATAATCCTTCTTTTCAACCCCTGGTTCCCATAAAAAATCTCTCATAATCTTCTCTAGCTGCTTAGCAATATTAACAAGTACCCGAAAAGTAAAGAGAAAGTATACCAGGAGATTTGCTAAAGTGGCTCTGATCAAAGGTTATCCTTCCTCCCAATGAAATATAATTCCTTTTCCAGGAGGTCAATTGTTTAGTAAATCTCTCCACTATTGGTTTCCAAAACCCCATAGTCCTTGGATTCCCACCCAGCGGGAGACCTAAGTACTCTATGGGCCAGTTTTTAACTTCACAACCAAGCACCTCAGCTAATCCACCAATAACCTCCTCTTGCATGTTAACACCTGAAATACAATTCTTTCCCCGATTTACCCTTAGATTAGAGCTATCCTCAAAACTTCTTATCAATGCTTTTAGGTTTCTAAGGGAATCAAAGTTGTAGCTGTTACAAAATAAGATTATATCATCTGCAAACTGCATGTGTGTAACCACAACCTCCTCCTACCCATCCTCCACTCCCTTAGTGAGTTGTCCAAGTCTGCTTTAGTGATCATCCTGCTAAGCACCTTAGCCACCAGGATGAACAAGAATGGGGAAAGAGGATCCCCCTGTCTCAAACGTCTCCTAGCAGGGAAGAAATCTCTAGCAGACCCATTAATCAAGATTGAATATTGCATCGAGCTTAAGCACCCCTTAATCCACAATTTCCATCTCTCTCCCAAACCAAATTTCTCCATTACCTCTAGGAGAAGGGATCACTCCACTAAGTCATAAGCCTTTTCAAGGTCCAACTTACACATCATTCCTTTCTCACCTCTTCTCTTCTTTTCTGCTAAACATTCACCACTAAGATCTGATCCACTATTTTCCTGCCCTCTACAAAGGCCCCTTGGAATGGAGAGATTACTGCCGGTAACACTTTCTTCAGCCTTCCTGAAAGGACCTTAGCAATTATTTTTTATAGGTTACCTACTAAACTGATTGGCCTAAAGTCCTTTGGGGATTTAGTTTCCTTCTTCTTAGGGACTAGTGCAATGAAAGTTGAATTGGATCCTAGGGAGATTTTCCCAATTTGGTAAAACTCATCAAAAACCTCTTTCGAATCATTCTTTAGAGTCTCCCAACAATCTTGATAAAAAGCCCTGGTAAATCCATTTGGACCCAGTGCTTTTGATCTGTGCGTTGAGAATACAGCCTCCCTAATCTCCTCAACACTAAAATTGCTCTCCAGAGCTTTGGATTGGAACTCTATTATCTTAGTCCACTCTAGACTGGGAAGGTTTTGTCTTCTCCCATCAGAATTGGAAAGGATTCCTTTGAAATGATCCACAAAAACCTTTACTATCTTCTCTTCCCTTGTCAGTTCAACTCCGTTTACCTCTATGCTCCTGATGAAATTCTTCCTCCTCCCCTCTGCTAAAGAGTGAAAAAACCTTGTGTTACCATCCCCCTCTTGAAGCCATTTGCATCTTGATTTCTATCCCCAAGATATTTCTTCTTTTCGCAAAAAATCTTCCAGTTCCATTTTCAGCTTCCACCTTTTTTCTCTTTCCTGCTGACTCATTTCCCTCATAGCTTCTTTTTTGTCTAGGGCCTCAATTCTAGAGGAAATTTTTTCTTGGATTTCTTCAAGCCTTCCAAAGTGCTCCTTGTTCCAAGCCTTGATCATCCCTTTTAAAGCTTTAAGCTTGCCTCATGAACCTAAGTGCTTCTTGGATTTCTTTCTATTCCTTGGTCTTTCCTCATCCTACCAGATTTTAATTCTTTCTTTGAACGAGGGGTCCTCCAACCAAGGTTCAAAGTATCGATATGTATCGGCCCGTATTGGCTGATACGTATTGTGCCGATGGCTTACCGATACGCCCCAACACCTTTGAACCGGTTTCGAAAAAAATAAATAAAACTTTTAAAAAAATGTACCGATACAGGCCAATACGCCCTACCGGCGTATTGGCCCGTGTCGATATTTAGAACCTTGCCTTCAACCACATATTCTCAAATCGAAAAGGTGATGAAGTTTATCCTTTCTAATGCCTCTTTTATTTTTTTTATTTTTTAAATGAAATTATCATCCAAGCCTAATAACCATTTCATTATTGCCCTGTCATCATTATCATCCAAGCCTAATAACCATTTCATATCTTCTCCCTATTTGAGTTTCTTTATTCATTTCTCTCTCTTTCTCTTGAAATTTCTCTACAGGATGGTGTAATTCTTGGAGCAGATACAAGAGCCACTGAAGGACCCATAGTTTGTGACAAGAACTGTGAGAAAATCCATTATATGGCACCTAATATTTATTGCTGTGGAGCAGGAACTGCTGCTGATACAGAGGCAGTAACAGGTATTTTTCAAGATTGATTTCTAAATGATTTGTATCATGACTTGCATCTAATTGTTTTCCACAGTTACATTGCTGTGTAATAGTTCTTTCACATGTATCATCAAGGATTCTTCGTTTGTTCTTGTCTTCTTGTTAGACATGGTAAGCTCCCAGCTGCAGCTACACTGTTATCACACTGGTCGGGTATCAAGGGTTGTTACAGCTCTTACACTTCTGAAATCTCATCTTTTCAGGTAAATATTGCTCAGGTACTGACAAAAAATGTTTTTCATTCAGCTATTCTGTAAAAAACAATATTGGGAATTTACACGATGGAAATATATGATACTCACCTAACTGCTTTACCTCTTGTTCAGTTACCAAGGTTATGTCAGTGCTGCTTTAGTACTTGGTGGAGTTGATGTCACTGGACCACATTTGCACACGGTAAAATTTCATGCTTGTTTCTGCTATCCAGGGATGGCAGTCTTTTCAGGTTCTGACAATGCTTGACCTTTATATCCAAAATGCCATATAATGCAGATATACCCTCATGGCTCAACTGACACACTGCCATTTGCTACAATGGGTTCGGGTTCCTTAGCTGCAATGGCTGTCTTTGAGTCAAAGTACAGGGAAGGCCTGACTGTAAGTTGGTCTGCCATTGGTTAAATAGTCAGCTTCCATATATTATGCCATTGATGATTGATCCATTGATATTCAATTCAGCAGAGGACTTACATGCATTTGCCACAATTCAATATAGAATAGTTGTTATGGAACATCCTTGCTATTACTGGAATACTGGATCCAAATTTAGATAATTTGGTGGTGATATTTTATGCCATGACAAGTGATAGAATGATTTTCTCCATCCTTTCTATTGAGTAGATTGGATAGCTAGTACTTCATAGAATAGCCAGTACTTTTTTTTTCCATGTCATCTGTAGTGGGAAAAGGAAGTTGCCTATCTTTTTAGCACTAGATACTGGGGTTGTAGACCATGTGTGACAGAATTAATACAACTAAATGGAAATTGAGGTTTTCGGAATTTCCTTTGCAGAGAGAAGAGGGAATAGAGCTTGTCTGTGAGGCTATATGCTCTGGTATTTTCAATGACTTGGGTAGTGGAAGCAATGTTGATGTTTGTGTAATAACCAAGGTTTGTTAATCATCAATGTACTCCACAATAGAAAAAGAAACTTTTGCATTGTTTTCATGTATTTCCTTTGTTAATTACTTGTGTAGGGCCACAAAGAGTACTTGAGGAACTACCAGATGCCAAATCCTCGAACCTATGTCAGTTCAAAAGGCTATACTTTTGCCAAGGGCCTGACTGGTTAGTACCTTCACCAACAGACTCAAGTCTTTTTGGAATTGCTTCTTATCAACCATTAGATGGCAATATTTTCAGTAAGATCAAATATCCTCAATTAGTTCCCCCATGTGTTTTTTATTTTTAATTCTGACTTGGTCTAAGTTTGCAAATCAAAGAGCTGGAAATGTTGTGGCATGTCTAGCCATCATATGGTTTCAGAAGCTTGTTTCTTAGAGAGGATAAAGCTAATGAAAGTTTTCTTGCATGCAGTAAATGCATAATTGGTTCTTACTGATAAAAAAAAATGCATAATTGGTTCTTACAGCCAGCTAGTACTTATTTTTAAAATATGCTCTGATAAGCAATCCTCCAACAATTGGAAAACTTGGTGATCCTTACCATCTGACCAGTTGATCTTGGTTGGTAATAAAAGCTGTCAATTGGACAGAATTGTGGAGATCCACATTATCTGAGTGTGAGTGGTATTTTTTCTTCTCATGGGTAGTGTTTGAGTGTGCTGTTTTCATGTTGTGTTAGGTTTTCGGTTCCTCCTCTCCCATGAGGATGGTTGTATTTCCATTAGTAGATGCTCCTGGTGCTTAGTGAAGGTATTCTTATCAAAGGTTCTATTAAGGGTTGATAAAATCTTCATTGGTAGATTATCAGGATTAAGAATTATCCTTGTCCCAAACATTTTTGTGGTTATTTGACTTATTTCTCATCCAATAGCTTTCCTGTCATTTGGACTTGTCTGGATTTATGAGAAATGTGCAATTATTTAATGAAAATAACTGTTTCCTTTCGTGATTTACTTGTGCTCTTAAGCAAACTTTTCTTTTTGTTTGCCTCAATTGGCTAGGACAAAAGTGAATTGACCTTTATTGGTATGCTGAGCTCAATGTGTTACTGATCTCGTTGACCTGTTTTATGGTTGCAGAGGTTTTGACAACAAAGATCACTCCATTGAAGGAAAAAGTGGAAGTAATTGATGCAAGTGATGCAATGGAAGAGTGAGATGCCCCCAGTGCCGACCCACGTTTCAGGATGTGTAAAATTGAAATGTTTTGCAAGCTCCAACTATATAAAGCTCTGCTTTCCAACCCAAATCAAACCAGTTTTAAGGGCAACATCCTCGTTACTTCTGATTTCGTCATCCTTTTCAGCGAACATCAGAGTTCTCAGTCAAAGAAGTTCTGGGTTTCTATTATTATTAAAAAAACGAAAATAGACAAAAAAAGTTGTTGATTCAGTGAAGATCCCAGTGTATTTTTCATTTGAGAGGACAGACGTGTGCCCTAATGCCATGTACAGACATTTGCAGCCCAAATTGCTTGTTTTAATATTACATCCCAATTGCCGATTTCAACCACCTGAGTACCTGATGCGATTAATGGCTGGACTGCACTAGGCAAGTAGCTATGGTGGTCATTGTCCAATTACATGTCTCATTTTGAGGAAACCCTCGTTGGATCAAACTCTATACATCACATGGATTTACATGTAATATTGTCTAAAGGTAAAGATAGGAGCATCTTAGGCCCGGGGTCATGGGAACTGTAGACAGATATGCACCTTCATAACTTGAAACCTATACAAAATCAACACTTTCCATCGAATGGATCCTAGCTAGAGCAATGGTTGTACCAAATATCAATAAATTAACCAAGCATGTGGAGTATGGACTATGGAAGCTTTTAGAGTGAATATGTTATTGTTTGTCGATGACAAAAAAATGATTGAAAAGCAATAATAACTCTTAGGAGAATCGGGGCACAATTCATATTGGAGAAGGTCAGCAATTCACAATGAGTATATCCGCAGTGTTACTGTTATGTGTTAGAGAATACCAATCAGGTTAACAGAAACTGTTTTATAAGAGAGTTACAAGGTTAGCAATATGGAGTGTTTTGGGGGATTTAGGAATAGCTCCAATAAATGATAAAATGAGAGAGCTAAAATAGCTAGGGCACATGAGAAGAAGAGAGATCTTACTATTTTTGGTTCTACTTATCTACCGACTAGGACCCATCCAACTCTTTTCCCTAGTGATAGAGACATGGGATATGTGGTAATTTATGAGGCACAGGAGCAGTTAATGGGTTGGTTGTTTTGTCCCTGAACTCTACCATTTTAGCTAATCAAAGTTATGTGGAGATTTTCACTTCATTGATTGAAGGGAGCAAGGAGGAGAGGTTGTCCAGATCAACGAAGCAAATCGTTACTTCAAAGAAAAGTTATAAAATCTAATTAATGTATTCTTGTTGAGTAAACCATGAACACGCTACAGTCTTGATTGGCTCCAAAACAATAATCATCAGAATTTTTTCAGCAGTTTGAATTTCCGAGTCAAATGAATGATAAACTTATACTCATGGTATACTCAGTGAGAGTATTCTCATTGGATGTGGATCACCACTCATCGTGAAAGGGATGTGGTGAAAGTTATTTTTAGAAGGATAATTGGTCTAATCTGGACCTTTCAACTGGTGGATTGATATATGCAAACTTTTTCAAATTATCCATCCTTACACTGCAAGTCTGCAACACGTTAACCCCGGTCTGACCATGGTTAACATTATTTTAAATTTCGGAAGTTTCAGTCATTTTTGACCCTTGGACTGTGGAAAATTTTTTCAAAATTTAAAAGTTTTGAGTGATCACATATTTTGTCAACATTTCTAATACTTCGTATTTTAATAATATTTTGAAATTTTGGGTGAAATAAATGACTAAAATCCTAGAATTTCAGAGCCAAGATGAATTTGCTTGTTATATTTTATTTATCTAAAGCCAAAATTTCAAGGCAGTTAAAGCCATGGTCACAAGTCTAGTTTGAGGTGCTATCTTTTTAAAAGGTAAAACCAAATATTCCAAGAAGAGACTTGGAATTATAAGTTTAAGAACAGCTGATGAAATCACAATTCATTATTTATCATGGTTCCTCTACTCCATTTACATACAAATGGGTATATCTTCGTTGAAACTCAGTGGGTTGGTTTTCAGTATCCAAACCTTTACCACACATGAAAATGCAAAACCTTTTTCAACCCTTCTAAGAGTAAGGTGAATTGGATTGATGAGTTGAATACCCATATTTTATTTTCTATTATATATAAGTAATAAACAAGTAAAATAACATGAATAAATATCAAACTTTCAATTATTTTATTGAATCATATAAATAATATATAAATCATCAATTATCTTTTACATAAAATTTAAATTTATCACATAATACATAAATTCATATATCAATGGGAAAGGGTTGAATTTAGCCTAATACCAATATCCCATATCATATCATATAAATTGTAAAATATCAATAAAACCAGTACCCACCCCAAAATTTATTTTTCAGAAAAAAAAACCACTACCCTCCTCCAGATATCAATCAATCAAATGTGATTGAAAGACGACAAAACTAATTATTCAAATTGTCTATATTCGCTAACTAATTACTCAACATCTAAACTTTATCTGCTACAAGTCACATGGCATTCATAAAAGATATTGACAACACTCCAAGACGGCTTGTTTGACCGTTCAGGCAATGGATGATCAACTTGGAATCACCTTAAACGATTGATCTATATCAACAACAAGCCTAAATGTGAAATCATCCCATGACATGCGTGTCGTCATTAGAATCACTAAAATCCACTTGACACTCAAGCTCATGATGCTACAAAAGTGTGTATAATGTATTATTCCTTTATTGTGAGCTCAACCACACCAATGGTCTGATTCACACCTGGCCATCTCTTTCTAGAGGCCCATTGAAGTAGCTCAACTAATGCCTAGAATTGTAACTTTTTCCTTCGGTGAATGGGTAATTAAGTAGGTTGCGAGGTTTTAACTACTGAATGGCCTGTTGGATTGATTAATTATTTAATCCATTAAGCTATTAAGTTATTCAGTTCAGTCCCTTTAGCCACTATCAAATGGTCCCCTGCTTTGGCCCAAGGATTTCATTTCTTAGTATTTAGCTCCTTCCGTCTTAATCATTCAAACACATCTAAGGAGTCACATCTTTTGTGGCGTGTGAAACTCAAAGAGATGGTTTAGATGTTTAGGACCGACCAGAGATTATAAGTTTATGGTCACTACTTTTTTATTGTTTTCATTATTACTAGAGATTGATAGAAGTACCAAGTATGTACCAAGTATGAGGCAACTGCATCTATTTATCATTTTGTGTCTGAGATTGAGATTTATTATTTGTATGGTATATTTAATTTAAGCTTCTTAAAGAATAGGACTCATACCATTCAAATTTTTATAATGAATTATGTTTAAAGAATTAATCACTTTCTTAGTCTGCGTTTGAAATCAGTGTAAAACATCATCAATGTAAATACACTGTTTTACATTGAACCAGAAAGTGACCGTTGTTTTTTTTTTTAAATAGTGATGGGTGGAAGAGTATAAAATTTTACATCGATAAAATCAATGTAGTTTTTATATCGATTATTGATGTAAAACTTTAGAGTTGATGAGGTTTTACATCGATTATCAACGTAAAACTATACTCCATCCTAATGCACGCAAAACTGAATCGGAGTGTAGTTTTACATCGATAATAATTACACCCTCTTTCCAAAGGCACGCAAAACTGAACTAGAGTGCAATTCACTTTTTTCCATGCAAATCACGTCTTTAATAAATAAATTTATTGGATTTAATACTACCTTGAACCAAAATAATGTGTTGGCAAGATCATAGTTATTACAAAATAAGAAGTGTAGATAGTTAAGTTATACAAGCATTTTTTTTTTTGTTAAAAAACTTAAACAAATATGAGAACCCAAAATATAAGAGTTAACTCATGTGGAGATACACAAGTAAGGGTGTCAATGGATTGGTTCCAAAATCAATTTGGACGTATTGTACAGACCAAAAAGACAGTGGATTGGACTAGTCCAGTCCAAAATATTTATTAAATTGGATTGGACCTGGTTCGTCCATAATAAATTTATATTGATTTGATTGGATTAAGCCAATATTCAATCCATTGATATAAGATAAGAATATAAGTGTTAATGGACCGGGTTTGGATTGAAACCAATCTAAATTAAAATGAATTTGAACAAATTAGATGGTCCGAACACTGAATTTGACTGATCCAAAATAGTCCAAATTATTCATTGGATTATATTGGACCTGATCCATTTGTAATGGGCTCACATTGAACTGGATCGGAATGTACCAAATCCAGTCCAATCGACACCCCTATACACATGCTAATGGAGTAATGGTATTTCATTTTAATGAATTGGGAGCGGGGATCATGCTAGGGATAGGGAGTATAATTCCAGCTTTGATTGCAATTGATTACTCTTTCCACACATTCTCTTTGTGCATGAACTATAAGGAAGAAAATATAACTTCTACTACTAGAATTTTTGAAATTAATAAAATAAATTTTATTAAAACAAATAAAAGAAAAATAAAAATAATAAAATATATTAATAAATAAGTTTTATTATATGTATAATAATTTATATTTGTATATATAATATTTTTATATTTTATGTATTACAATAAATGATTTTTATAATTCTTAATTTTTGTATGTAAAATAATATATATATATATATATATATATATATTGTATAATTTTTATTTTTATAGGAAACTTCGGTCATAGTCGAACTCGAACCGAACCAAGATCAAATGCACGAGATTTTGAGCCAAGCTGAATTCAAGCTCAAGTCTCTAACTCAAATCGAGTTCGAGCTTAACATTTTTTTAACAAACCGAATTTTAATAACTAAACATTTGGCTTGTATTGGCTCAAATTCACCCACTAAGGCTGCATTTAAAACGATGCAAATGGAATGTAAATCCCGGTTCAGGGTAAATTTGCACTTTGGTTCATTTTTGCCTGTGTTTGGCAACATTACATTTATGCATTGACAAATAACAGAAAACACATTTTCCAATGCATATTTACATTGATTATAAGATGCAAAAGTACATCAAGAAAAAAAAAAGAAATTTGCTTTTAAATGAGCTTTTGATAAAAAAAAAAGGTATATACTTTATTGAAATTCATGTTTGCATCCATTATAACTAAAAATTTATTTGGTAAAATGGTAAATTTGTCAATGCAAAATTAACCCAACTTTACAATTTATATGAACCGCTATAGACTCTACATATTTGCATTCACACTTATTTACATCGTTTTCAAACGCAATATAATTGACACTTTAGCAAACCAAAAAACGTATTGACAAATGCTAGTATGTGAAAATTATATGATGGGGGAATGAATTGTGGAACTCATGGGTGATAATACTTTATGACCCAGGTCCCACTTTTATGACCTCAGCTCCCTTGTAATGAGACGTTAAAATTTTCTATTGCCTCTGAATCTCACATGTTAGTGTAACCCATCTATATTGCTTTAGCAAAAAAAAAAAAAAAAAAAAGAAATTACAAAAGCTTCATGGTTGGGTGGCAGAAGTAAATCCACCCATTCATGTGGATTAAAACTATGAAAGCCCCATTCCTTTTTACATAACATGTACAGCTAATCAAATCAAGGCTTTGTCTTCTTGAGGCTCATTGTGCTCTATCTAGATAAACGATGACGCCAGCAATTATCTAAAACACTAAATGAACAGATAGAAAGAAGAGAGAAAGGTGGATGGAGACAATGAGTTCTGATATGGTGCAACGTAAGCGTATAAACCTGGCTACATGATCAATCATGAATGAAGACGCCATTATTATATACACATGGGACCCATATGGAACATTGACGTGTTACCTCATTATTGATTATATAACTAGGTTTACACACTTGTGCAAGTAAGAGATTTGTGCTTTCACCAAAAGATAAAACAAGAAAGTTACCTTTCCAGATCTTATTAGAGGTAGATGCAAACAGAAGAGGAAAACGTGGCGAATGGACAAAGAGGGGTGCTATTTGTCCATTGAAGCCATCTAATAACTGAAGTTTAGGTCTTATGATCAGAAACCAGAGGGGAGGTTTCAGTATTTGTAAAAAACCTAATTCTACTAATTTTGAATTTGAAACAAAGGAAGATCATGTCCTTTATTTTGTTGGTATGTAAGTTCATATGAATAATAACATAGAAGTATGGGAAATGTTCCATCGTGTGACGGGTACACGCTGTGAAGTCGGTGTCAGGTCCATGTTTAATTGGGCATTTTGCAAAAAAGGTGCAATGCAAATGCCTTCGGATAGGGGTATTCCTGGTCCTATTGGAGAATCCGGATCACCTATCAACATTATTTTACGCTGTACATCTCATGTATGAAAGGTTTTACTTTTATAGTGGGTCCTATGTATTTTGTTTGCAGGAGATCTCTGTTAGTTTTTAGGAAAGTTTCAACTAAGTTTTTTTTTTTATCTTCTCTAACCAAATCAGAGAAATTCTTAACTCAAATCAAATCTTTTTACCACGAAAATCAATCAGACCGTACCATTTTATTACAGTGATTGAAGGATTTTTTTTGTTTTAAAAAAAAAAGAAAGAAAGAAAGAAAACCTTCACCATATCCATATGCTTAAAGGATGCATTCAAGATTGACTCTTATCTCAGATTCTTTTAAACATTATTATATGGTTTTGTGATCGCGCGTGTTACTGCTTTTGCTCTGAGTCTCCAACTTCTCAGGGGAAATGGAGAGGGAGGAAACCAAGGGAGCAGAGAACACGACCTGCAGCGCAGAAGTTTTCAGCATTGAGGCAGATCAAGTAAAAGGCGTTCAATTGAACGGAGATTATCTCACGTCTGCACACACCATTGATCATGGTCTGTTACGTTTCATCTGGATCTTCCACAACTATAGTCTCTTTTCTGTCTTCAAATTCTGTTATATTTTTAGTTTTTACCGCTACTCCTGAATTTCTTTTTATTATTCTGCGTCGTTGTTATTCCTTTAAACAATAAGAAAACAGATACAGGAGGCCAATACTGATACTTATTTTGATTTTCGTCGGGGAAAACTTACAGATTCATGGCAACAAGTGGGTTTCCTACTGATAACGAGCTTCAATTGTGGATACATCTTGAGCTTTTCGAACCTGATTTTGGTGCCTCTTGGTTGGGTGTGGGGTGTAATCTGCTTGTTGGTTGTGGGCTTTTTTACTGCCTACGCCAACTGGCTCTTGGCAGGTCTTCACATAATACAAGGCCAGAGGTTTATAAGATACAGAGACCTCATGGGGTTTGTATTTGGTGAGTGTTTGCTTACAAATTAAATAATTCAAACATATTTCGACTGCTTTTATTTGTAAGATATTTACACTCAGAGTCTAAATTAAATGCTTTCTATCAAATCTCTTTCAGCTCCAATTCAAGTTGAGATCTTGGCTTTACAATCTCAATTAATTCACAACTATAACTTTCCTTGATTTAGGATCAGGGATGGCAACAGGGCAGGTTAGGGAAGGGTTTTGTAAATTTTACGCTTTATTCATCTTTTTTCTTCTTATACTTCCTAACCCGTTTCTAGTAGGGCTGTAAGTCAGGCCGGGTTAGATCGGGTTGAGGCCAATCCTAGCCCAACCTTAAGTTCTAAACCCCAATCCTAACCCTAATTAAATTCCTTCAATCCTAACCCAACCCAACCCAACCCAATTCGAAGTCAATTTCGTGTTGGGTTGGGCCCAACCCAACCTTCTTCCCATCCCTTAAAATCTCATAAATTTTTCGATTTTAGATCTTAACTCAACTTTCACCACATATATTAATCCTATGTTTCATTATTATTTGTTTGTTGACGATTTTTTTTTTTGTTCTTTTGGTACACAATTTAGAAAAACAAGTGTTAGAAATGACTATAGTTTATTACGAGTTATGGCTTACGAAAGATCTTTCTTAGGTGGAAAACAACATGGAGGAGATGAAGAATAAAATTTTCAAAAACACATAAAATAATATTATTAAGGTTTTAGTTTTTCTTATCAGGATTAAGTGAAGTGATTATCTTAAAAGAAATATATGATACTATGTGGTGGGCGCTATACAAATATCATGCATCTAAACAAATCAATGTATGTTATATATTACATATAACATATATTTATATATGGCATGTACTATAGAGTTAGGTTGGGTTAGCTAAGGGGTCAACCCTAATCCAACCCAAAGTAAAGTCGAGTTCATGAATTTCAACCCTAACCCTAACCAGAATATCAACCCGACCCAACCCAACCCAACTTTTTCGGTTTGGATTCGGGCCAACCCGACCCAAGTTGCAGCCTTAGTATCTAGACCCGTTAATGGGCGGGGCTTCAAGCCTAAATTTCCATTATGTCGGGCTCAGGCTTCGGGCCAGGCCCATTCAAATTTTGACAAAAGTTAAGGTAGAGCTCAGCCCATAAACGGGTTTACCCGTATCCTTCACAAATTCCTTAGCGAGTTGAATTTTCATAATCCAAACCCTCCTCGCATTTGAGGGTGAGATGGGTCAGATTGACGGGTTAGGTCTAGCCTACCCTTTTTTAGTGGAAAAAATCCTCCCTATCAGGGCTAGTACCTGCTAAATAAGGTAGAAATTGCCATGAAAAAAAATCATTAATTAAGTTGCTAACTGTTCTTTCGGTTTGTTTCTAATGATGCTCAATCCGAGGTTGTGCATGAACTGAGGACAACAACCAGATAGTCCTTGCTAATAGGGCGGGGCTAAGCTACAAGGACGAGGCCGCGCTTCAAGACTTGTGATCAAGAAAGGAGTTAGAGGCCCGAGGAGTTATCCTCGGGTAGGTACTCCAATGCTCAAGTCAATAGGATGTGATGGATGGCCGGGCCGAGCTATAGGGATGATGGTCCGAGCTAATTAATAGTATGGGTGTTAGAAGTTGGGGATCCCTTACCTCGAGCATGGAGTACCTTTTTATAGCCAATGATCCGTGTCCAGGTCGGATTGGGCTTCCGGGGTCGTCAGGATGAGATTAGCCGCCGAGGTGTTCGGGATAGAGTCCCATTCCCCAGCGGAGCCTTCCTTATTCCTCTTTATCCATAGTTGTGCTCATCCACGTGACGTGTAGTTGACGTGGCTGAAAGGAGAAGATGGGGGCCACCATAATAGCGTAGCTTGGTCAAGCAATGCCGATGTGGTCGGGCGATAACTAGGCAGCCACGTGTCTTGCAGGGCCAGCTCAGCCATGACCCGAACACCACTCCCCCAGTTCTGAAGTCGAGGAGTGAAGTAGTCCAATTCGTTTTTCGGCTAAACTTCAAGTTGATGTCTGGATGGGTGTTTGGCCTCTTTGGTGTTCCTCGACGCCTGTCGCAATCTTGAGAACCGGGCAATATGGAACGTGGCTGAGGAATCTTCCCATCGTCGACTACAGAACTCTAAGAGCTCTGACTTCGGAATCCGAACACCACTCCCCCAGTTCTGAAGCCGATGAGGGGGAGTGCCTGGTCCAAAGTGTTGTGCGGTTGCATAGCTCAGCAGAGTGTCGAGGTGTCAAACTGAGCTTCCAGGTTCGTCCTCCTGGTGAAGCCGAGGAACGGCTCTGATTCCAAGTGGAAGTCAAGCTTCTGTGTCATGGTGATTCTTGGCCATGGTGCGCCGAGCTTTGGAGTTGGGTCTAAATTTCGGAGTTGAGGCCACTGTGTTGCTCAGCCATGATGTGCCGAGCTTCCGAAGTTGGGCCTTAGCTCGGTCGTATGCCGAGGAAAGGCTTTTTGATGTCGGTCGGAGGCCAAGCTTCGGAATTGAGGTTGTGATGCTCGGCCACGGGGCACCGAGCTACGGAGACAGGGCCCTTGCGAGTGCCGAGCTGTGGAATTGAGGCCATTGCGATGCTCGACTATGACTTTCCGAGCTCCGGAGCTAAGGGCCCCTAGGTGCCAAGCTGTTGTGATGTTCGAGGGCCTACAGGTATCGAGCTTGTTGTAATGTTCGATTGTGGCTTGCTGATCTTCAAAGTTGAGGGCCTCGCAGGTGCTAAGCTTCGGAGTCTGCGCCTCTCTGATGCCCCACCGAGGAAGGTGTTGAGCTTCAAAGTCTGGGTCTCTCCGAGGCTCGGTAGCGCAATGCCAAGGAGGGTGCCGAGCTTTGGAGTATGCGCTTCTCCAAAGCCAAGTAGCATCGCGCCGAGGAAGGTGCCGAGCTTCGAAGTCTAGGTCTCTCCAATGCTCGGTAGTGCAGTGCCAAGCTTCGGAGTTTGCGCCTCTCTGAGGCTCGATAGCGCTGTGCTGAGCTTCGAAGTCTAGGTCTCTCCGAGGCTCCAATGTTCTGTAGCGCTGCGTCGAGGAAGGTGCTAAGCTTCGGAGTCTACGCCTCTCCGAGGCTCGGTAGCGCTGCGCCGAGGAAGGTGTCGAGCTTTGGAGTCTACGCCTCTTCGGTGCCCCGCCGAGGAAGGTGTCGACTTTCCAAGTCTAAGTCTCTCCGAGGCTTGGTAGCACAGTGCCGAACTTCGGAGTTTATGACTCTCCAAAGCCAGGTAGCGTGGCGCCGAGGAAGGTTCTGAGCTTCAATGTCTGGGTCTCTCCAAGGCTCGGTAGTGCAATGCCGAGGAAGGTGTCGAGCTTCAAAGTTTGCACCTCTTCGATGCTCCACCAAGGAAGGATCCGAGCTTCGAAGTCTAGGTCTCTCAGAGGCTTGGTAGCGCTACGCCGAGGAAGGTGTCGAGTTTCGAAGTTTGGGTCTCTCCGATGCTCGGTAATGCAGTGCCGAGGAAGGTGCCGAGCTTCGAGGTCTGCACCTCTCCGAGGCTCAGTAGCGCTGCACCGAGAAATGTGCCGAGCTTCGAAGTTTGGATCTCTCCGATGCTCGATAGCACGGTGCCGAGGAAGGTTCTGAGCTTCGGGGTCTCTGCCTCTCCGAGGCTCGGTAGCACTGCACCGAGAAAGGTGTCGAGCTTCGAAGTCTTGGTCTCTCCGAGGCTCGGTAGCATAGTGCCGAGGAAGGTGTTGAACTTCGGAGTCTACGCCTCTCCGATGCCCCACTGAGGAAGGTTCCAAACTTCAAAGTCTAGGTCTCTTCGAGGCTCGGTAGTGCTGTGTCGAGGAAGGTGTTGAGCCATTGGGCCGAGCTCCCCTGATGCTGCACTGAGGATGGACTTTCTATTCTTTGATTGAGGAATTTGTAGCTTAAGTTTCAGAATCCAAACACCACTCCCCCAGTTCCGAAGTCAAAGGGTGGAGTGCTCGGCCGAAGTGTAGTGCAGCTTCCCTTGGTCGGCATTGTTGTCGATTTCCTGCCGAGGATTGAACAGCTACGGGTTTCTCTTAGAATTTTGTCTTCTTTTGTCTTTTTCTTCTTTGATAGCTCGGTATGTCGAGCTTTAACCTGTTGTATTGATGGCTTAACTTAATGAAATTGTTTTGTTCTGAACTTGTGTGCATACATACGAGTTGGTTCCTCGGCCTTACCTTGGTCGAGGTCTGGGGTTGACCGAGATCTTCAGTCTCCGGCTAGTGGGGCCAGAGTATATTCCGAGATCTCATCTTTGGGACACTCAGTTTCTGGTCTCGGGAGCCTTTGGGGCCCTTCGTGGGTCAGTCGTTGTTCAGCTGGCTCTGCGACATTTTGTCGCCGAAGTACGGAGTACGATGACCACCCTCTAGCCTTGGAGGCAGGAGCGATCTTCTCCGATTTGGGCTCTGGCCATTGATCAGCCGAGTCAGATGTTCGGCTATCGCTGCCGAGCTAGCTACTAGCTATGTGTTAAGGGCTCGAGCCATTATAGGTCAGCTGAGTCAGTTTTCTTAGTCGGTGATACACTGCCGAGCTTCATGCCATGCCCGTTGGTAGGTCACCCGACTTAGCCGATTCAGTGCAATGTGTCGTGCATGCGCCGGTCAGTCGGCTGTGTAGCGCGACGGTGTAGTGCGGTTGTGTAGCGTGGTGGTGTAGCGCGACTATGTAGTGCAACTGTGTAGTGTGGCGGTGTAGTGCGGTTGTGTAGTGCAGCTGTGTAGCGCAGCTATGTAGCATGGCGGTGTAGGGTGACTGTGTAGCGCGGTTGTATAGTGCGGCTGTGTGTGTGGTTGTTGGGCTCGCGGGAGCGGGCCGTGGAGGTAAACCACCTTACTGTGTCTTGCTTCTCACACTTGGACCACGCTCCCCTCCTTTCCGGCCAGCGCGTTTTGGGGTCCTCGGGATGAAGATCGTCCTTCGTACGCATCGGG